GAGACCTCATCTCTACAACAAATCAAAAATTAGCCCGGGCGTGGTAGCACGCGCCTGTAGTCCCAGCTACTTGGAAGGCTGAGGCGGAAGGATTGCTGGAGCCCGCAGGTCGAGGCTGCGGTGGCCGGGAGCGGCCATTGCACTCCAGTCTGGGTGACAGAGTAAGACTCCAAGTCAAAAAAAAAAAAAAATGTTTAAGAAAGTAAATTTCTCTCTGGCCTGGCTTATTATTAGGTATTCAACATATTTGTAACTTCTTATATTTACTGAATATGATAGAACTGCACTTGCTTTCATTTTCTACTTACTCCCCCAGTAATAAGCAAATAGGAGCATTAAACCAAATGCTAGAAGACAAAGTCCAACATACAATTTATACCCAATTTCTGAGGTCATGGGTCACATCTTATGTATTATTTTGGCTTCCCATTATTCTCTGAACAAACAGTAGATACACAACGAGTGTTTTCAAATTTCACTTGGTCCTATCCCAGCAAACTTTACTGGAAAACCCTAAAGCTATTAAAAAGGAGCCATTCTCCTCTAACAATTTAATCAAAATTAATTGTTAAATACTGAGCTTACTGTTTAAAATAATTTTCTGGTCTCTTGCAATAGTGAGAAAACAAAGGGAAAAGATTCCGAGTCATATCAAACTGTAACTGGGCAGCTCCTCCTTCATTGAAGTGATTAGCAAGAATTATCTGAAAGAAAGAACAATTCATATAACAGGTGCCTTGATGAACACAAAGTGAGCAGATTGGGGGTTACCAGAGGACACGAAGGGAGGAAGGAGGGGGAGTGAAGCAGGGGATAAAAGACCCTAAATGTATTTACTACCACTTAACTGTACACTTAAAAATGGTAAAGACAGTAAATTATAGAAGTATCTTTTACCTCAATTTAAAAGTTAAATTAAAAAAATTTAAAAACAGCTGCCTTTATCATCACAGCCCAAAAATATAGTCTACTCCTACTTACTTCTTGGTAGAGGTATATATCCAGCTTCTCTACAAGCATTTGCCAGAAAATTTTAAATAAGGAGAAACAAAGCTGCTGCTCCAACTGAAGTAAACGGTCTCGTAACGTAAGCAACAACGGGCAGGCTGAACTGGACAGGGACATGACTGCCTGCTCAGACTGAGACGGCAAGGACAACCATCTGAAAAAAACACATTCACTTTTACCTTTGAATTCTTCATCACTTTGTGTTTTCAAGTTTTAACAAATCATTTTAAATGTGGGGAAGTGTACTGTCCTAGGGCATTTTTGGATATGACAAAATGTACAGCCTAACATTAAAAGCTCTATCAGAAAATAAGGGTACCCATATTTATACTTTAGCTCTCCATTAAACACTCTTTATTTTAAAAAGAGGATACTCCCTTCCGCAATCCCAAAATTTTAATATATAAACTACTGACATAAAACAGTTAACTTTTAAGATGTAGGCTGGGCACAGTGGCTGACGCCTGTATTCCCAGCATTTTGGAAGGTGGCAGTGAGAGGATTGCCTAAGCCTAGGGATTTGAAACCAGCCTGGGCAACTTGGTGAGACTTCATCTCTACAATAAATCAGAAAAAACACCAGCCGGGCGTGATGGCACGCACCTGTGGGTCTAGTGACTTGGAAAGCTGAGGCAGGAGGATAGTCTGAACTCAGCAGGTCGAGGCTGCAGTAGCTATGAGTGTGACACCACACTCCAGCCTGAGTAACAGAGTGAGACTGCAATCACCCACTCCCAAAATTTTTTTAATGTATTAGCATTTAAGACATCAACCCATTTTGTGCTCTAATTTTCAGTAAAAACAACATGGACTAGTAACCATTCCAAACTGATCAAAAGGTCTCTGCATGGCAAGGAATGTGCTTAGACAAAAGACACTGCCTGTTCTCAAGAAGCTCATATTCTGGTGGAGGTAACACAGGTGTACAGGGAATTGTAGCAGTGGGATAAACTGGATAATGCAAGCACACACTGGTTACTCCATGAGCACCTTTCTTTGTGCAATGGATGGCAGACTGGACTATTCAACCCTAGATTGTACACCAGCTTTCTATTTTTACAAACAGCTGACAACTAAATTATGATCAGTTTATTCTGATTAAGAAATAGTTTAGAAAGATTTCCATCAAAAACTGCTTTGGAGTACAAAGGCCAAACCTTGGTCTATCTAGACACCTAGGATTACAGGCAGGGCTCAGTGGCTCATACCTATAATCCTAGCACTTTGGGAGGCTGAGCCAAGAGGATTGCCTGATCCCAGGGGTTTGAGACCAGCCTGGGCAACTTGAGGAGACCCTGTCTACAATAAATCAAGAAAAATTAGCCGGGTGTGGTGGCACACACCTGTAGTTCCAGCTACTTGGAAGGCTGAAACAAAGGATTGCCTGAGCCCAGGAGGTCAAGGTTGCGAAGGCTGTGAGTGTGCCATTGCACTCCAGCCTGGGCGACAGAGTGAGACTCCGACTAAAAAAAAAATTAAAAAAAAAAAAACCTAACCCCACATACCATCTTTAACTTTTACAAAACTGATGTTAAGTGTTGACTTAGAGCACATACCTTTCTTTTTTATACAATTTTGCAGCATCTTTCACTTCTCTAAAAACATGGTCTACTTGACGGGTCAACATGTCATGCTTTAAACGCTCTAAGAGGTTAATCATGTCATCAAAGACAGAGCTCTCCATGGAAGCTAACTGTCCCAGCTGCAATTTACTGAGAGTGTTATTCTCTGCAAAGACCTCCAATGCTGCCTGTTGAAGCTGCAGAAAGAACTGAAAGCAAAATATGTTAACACATTTATCAACACACTATTTTAACAACTTGAAATAGAATTCATATACCTTACAATTCACCCACTTAAAGTGTACAATTCAATGGTTTTTAGTAAAGAGTTGGTCATCCATCACAATCTTGGAATACTGTCATTACCCCCCCCAAAAAAAAACCCTTACTCTTAGCCCTTCCCCCAATACCCTCCCTACTCCCCCTAGCCCTAGGCAGCCATTCATCTATTTTCTGTCTCTATAGATTTGTCTATTTTGGACATATCATATAAACGGAATAATACAATATATGGTTCCTTGTGAGTGGCTTCTTTCATTCAGTATAATGTTTTCTGGGTCCATCCATGTTGTAACATGTATCACTACATCATTTCCTGTTATTGCCAAACAATATTCCATTATACAGATATACTGTAGCTTGGCGGGGGCCATAACAATCTCGGAGCCAGCATAGGAACAGAGTGAGGACAACTCTCTGGGAGGCAAGGCCCCGGGGAGATTCTGTGCAAGCGGCAAGGACCCACGGAAAGTCCTGAGGAAAATTCTGCATGACTGCTTCTTAAGTCATGGCCACCACTATGTTCCCATTGTATTGTTTTGCGCAGGCTTCATAGGAATAGTTTGTTTAGTTACATTTTGGGAAAAGGAGGCTGCTCACATATCCATGATAAATAATAGTTTCAATAGGAGTTCCTACATAACTTACAAAAAACAATATGTCTCAACTAGATCCAAGAAAAACTATTAACAGGAACAGCATGACACAGAGTCTAGAAGAACAAACACAATCATCTGTAACACGAACTAGTCCTATGCTGTGTCTCGTTAACTTCCCAGAATAGTTTAAACAAAGAAACTCTGATAAAACTGTGGTACCAAGGAACGGTGAGAACGAATGAGGAACACACTGAAACCATAAATCAATTAAAGATAGGCTTAGATACTCAGCCACCTCCTCCTAATATCATTAGGCCTAAACCATTGCCCACTGTAAGAGAAGGAGACTACATAGGTTATATGCCTAACACCTTTATATCTATATAGACTATTTACCTTTATAGAGTATAAGTTTTACTTTCCACTTGCTAACCTTTTGACTAATATTAACCTTGCCCTTTTAATAAGCTACTATATCCAAGAACAGCTAGCTCTTTTTCTAAGAAATATTAAAAATGTAGACATTACTGAAGCACATAATTATATGTAAGAATTTTAACCACAATCACATCGTGAACTTATTATTGTTAATCATTTTTTACTGTTAATTTACTGATATTTGCTTGCCAAAAATTATGATATAAATAAATCAGCACTGCTGTGCTTCGGTGGCCAGAGTGCGAAACAGAACTCTGGTCCAACTCATTTCTCGCCTTATCCACACATCCTTCCTGGGTTCCTGAATACTGCGGAGCTGGACTCTGACAGTAGCTGAATTTGGGTTGTTTCCACTTTTCGTCTATTACAAATAATGCTGCTGTAAACATTTGTGTACACGTTTTTATGTTGACATATTTTCATTTCTTTGATATATTCCTAGGAGTGGAATTGCTGGATAATATGGTAATTCTGTGTTTTTGTTTGTTTGTTTGTTTTTAGTTGGAGTCTCACTGTCACCCAGACTGGAGTGCAGTGGCATGTTCCTGGCCACCGCAGTCTCGACCTGCTGGGCTCCAGCGATCCTTCCGTCTCACCCTTCCAAGTAGCTGGAACTACAGGCGTGTGCTAGCATGCTTGGCTAATTTTTGATTTATTGTAGAGATGCAGTCTTGCCAGGTTGCCCAGGCAAGTTGCAAACCCGCAGGCTCAGTCAGCCTCCCAAAGCACTTGGGATTACAGGCTGAGCCACCGAGCCCAGCTCAATTCTGTGTTTTAACGGAGGAGCTGCCATACTATTTTCTACAGCTACTGTACCATCTTACATTACCACCAAACATGTAAAAATTTCTCCATAACTGCACAAATAATTGTAATAATATTATCTTTTTTATCACAGACATCCTGGATTGTAAGAAATGGTATTGTGCTTTCCTAACAGTTAACATACTTCTTAAGTACTCATTTTTTCTAGATACAGACTGAGTTGCAGTAAACCTGGAATATATATATGAGAGTTAGGAGAATGAAGATGTCATTTTTACAGAGTATTTTAGGTGGAATTAACAATATTTTTGCCCTATGGGAAAACAATGTTGTGGGTAATTAGCAAAAGATTAACAACAACGTAAATGCCCATTGATAGGGACTGGTTAATTATGGTACTTCCATACAGTGAAGTGTCTAATTTTATTGTTTAAAAAAATTAGACAACTCTTCATGCTCTGAAATGAAATAATCTCAAGATATATATTGTTAACTGCAAAAAGCAAATGAGAAGAGTTTGCATAGTATGTATCATATGTATACATACACATACTTGTGTTTATATAAATAGCTTAGTTAAAATACACAAGAAGTAAAAGTAATTGGCCTTAGGGAAAGTTAAAATTAAGACCTATTTTCACTATATACTATTTTGTGGCTTTTGAATTTTGTGTCACATATATGGATTACATATAGTAAAAAACATTTTCTTTCACCTCCTACCAACATTAACTATAACTTAACTAAAAAAAATGAAACTATCAATAAGCATTTAAGAGTAAGATTAACTATGAAGATCTGAAATTCTACTTTTCCAAATACAATTACAGAGCACTAAATAAATCATCTAGTCAGGGTTATATTTTTTACTAAAACTCTGAACAGCATTAAACAATAAATTCATCATAATAAGTCATGTTAAAGGGCATCAAACATTTGATTATCCCTGAAATATTTCCTTAAGAATTTTAGGCCGGGCTCGGTGGCTCAGCCTGTAATCCCAGCACTTTGGGAGGCTGAGGCGAGTGAACTGCCTGAGCTGGTGGGTTCGAGACCAGCTCAGGGAAGTTGGCAAGACCTCATCTCTACAATAAATCACAAATTAGCCGAGCATGATAGCGCACGCCTGTAGTTCCAGCTACTTGAAAGGCTGAGGCAAAAGGATCGCCAGAGTCCAGCAGGTAGACGCTGGGGTGGCTGTGAGTGTGCCATGGCATTCCAGTCTCACAGAGTGACACTCCAACTCAAAAAAAAAAAAAAAAAAAGAATTTTAAGTTGGTTTTCTTTTACAGTTCTTGAAATAAAACTCAATAAAAAAACTTAAAGCCGGGCTCGGTGGCTCAGCCTGAAATCCCAGGCCTTTGGGAGGCTGAGGTGAGTGGATTGCCTGAGCCCGCGGGTTCGAGACCCACCTGGGCAGCAAGACCTCATCTCTACAATAAATAAAAAAATCAGCCGGGCGTGGTAGCGCATGCCTGTAATTCCGGCTACTCAGAAGGCTGAGACGGAAGGATCGCCAGAGTCCAGCAGGTCGAGGCTGCGGTGACTGGGAGCGGCCACTGCCCTCCAGTCTGGGCGACCGAGTGAGACTCCAACTCAAAAAAAAAAAAAAAAAAAAAAATCTTAAAAAAGCCATTTCAAATTCTCCAAAAGACTTCATGGATAATGAA